GGTGATGCAGCGGGGCCGGCTATGGGCGGGGCTGGGAGGGTGGGGGGGTCCCGCGCTCTGAGGGAAGGTGGCCTGGCTGCAGGGCCACATGTCCCCGCCTCTGCCTGTCCACACAGGGTCGGGGCCAGCAGTGAGTCCAGTTCCAGGAGGAAGGCCTAGGAGGTGAAACTGGTTTTCCCCTCGGAGGTCAGAATCGCTTTCTCCTTTGCCGTTCTGCATGACTTTTCATGGGCAAACAGGTGTCAAACTCTGCCAGGACAAGGGCAGACAAGGTGGCACCTGGCAGCAGTGCAGGGCTCGCACGAAAGGGGTTTGCGGACCTGGCTCCACTGCTGTTCCCAGGTCTGTTGCGGGGTTGTGCTGACCCTAGCGGCCTCGACAACAGCAGGGCAAGAGCTGGAGACAGAGGCCTGGGACAGGCTAGGGCCATCAGGTCCCAGACTACAGTGGCACTGCCCCTCCTGAGACCCCGCCCCCTCCCGACTCGGGGACAGCTACAGTCGGCCCCACTCCCTCCCGGGCTCTGTCCAGCTGTTGCTCAGGAGGCCAAGAGTCTGCAGCAAAGGGAATGCGGCATGGGGACCATGTGAGAGAAAGCAGCTGGGCACAGCCCTTGGTCTACCAGAGACATCATGACTGCCAGGGTTACCTCCTTCATAGCTCACGCAAGAAAGACAAAAAGGGGGAAATAAAAGGTGGCACCCAGAGCATGCACGGTGGCTGCAGCGACTCTCCCACCCGCCTGCCACAGCAGCTCAGAGGCCTCCAGGAGCCGGCAAGGGCTGGAAACACAATCTTCCAGCTCCTACAGGATGTTTGCTCTTGGATTTGGACAAAAAGGAAAAAGGCAAACAAAATAGGATGGATGGGAGCCACAGAGCCACAGATCCATGCAGATGATTAACAACAAAACCAAACAAGAAAAAAACAAAAACAAAAAACCCAAAAAGCTGGAGACACAAATCAAAGGCAGGGCGGACCACACAGAGAATGGGATGGCAAGGTGACTCGGGCAAGGCAAGGTGTTAGCCCCGCAGTGTCTGAGCTACTGTGTGTGCCGCAGGCTCCGTGGCCCCCAGCGTGGCAGCCAGCACCACTGCCCAAGAACAAACACTCAAGCACGGGGAGCTCCAGGAAGGCAGGAAGGAGAAAAGAAGAGCAAAACAGCCTCCCAATCTCTGTTTCCCCAGCAATAAATGCAATGGCTTGGGAACTCGGGTAACTGAGAAACTGTGGCAAGTGAAACAAAAATGGGAGCAGCTATGAAGAGAAGGCAACCAATCACGATTCTCTCTGCAACCAAGGAGGGCCAGGACCAAAGCGACCTATAGCCTGCGGGAGAAGCCCCAAGGACAGGAACAGGAGGGTTATCTGGGAAGAAGGGAGAAAGCAGGAAACAATCAAGACAAAGCCACTGAGAGAGAACATTAAAAAGAATGAAACAAGGCTGATTTAAGATCGGAAGTACACCCCAATTTAAACATGTGGCCAGAATTCCGAATCACAAGGTCCCGAAGGTGCATCCCCCCACCCCATTAGGCTTCAGATCTTCAAGTGCACCAGGAGTGCAAGGACAGACGTTCCAGAGACACAGCTGCATCCACAGAAGCGAAACCCCTCTCACACACCTGGTTTGGGGATGAGAAAAGGCTGCTAAAAATCGAGAATTCCCCAGGGCCCAGCAGTGATTGACAGCCGTAGACCAAGAGGTCGGTCAGAGCCCACAGCGCCCACACCGGAGACTTGCCCGGCCTGCCAATTACCACTGGGACACTGGTCGCGCTCTCCTGTCACTGCGGGCCTCCGGACCGCCGCTGCGCCTCCCCGCCTTGGGACACAACACAGAGAAGTGAGTGGTGCTACGGGGCCTCGAGTCTCGTGCTCATCCTGGACCTTCTGGGCGGGACTCAGGACAAGCACCCACCTCAGAGTCACCAGGACCATAGCCCGAGTGGGAGCCCCTGCCGGTCTGCCCGGCAGGGCCTTGGCAGCAAATACACTGCTCACTTGGGGGCACGGAGGACAAGGTCCTTGGGAGTGAGGCTCTACCTTACTGCTGAAACCCAGACCCCAACTGGCTGCAGGGCTCAGGGCGCTTTGAGGGAAGGGTAGATACAGTCCTGGATCACAGCCGAAGGCTGAGAAGTGACGGGCGGGCAGGTGGGAATGGACTGAGGTCAGCACTGACCGCTTCCTTAGGATAAATGCCCCAGTCCTCCAGTACACTTCCTTCTGACCGTGCTGCAAACCGACAAGCCTGCGACTCCACCAATACTGCCTGTCCAGGCCGTGAGGTCTGCGAACTCCAGGAGGCTCCCCGCAGAGCTCTCTGCTCCACAGTCCACATGCCACAGGAGAGGGCCTGTGTCCCCGCTCTCTGATGCCACCCGCAGTGGGCCCTGTGGGAGGCAGTGCTGAGTGCCAGCTCTCCTCTGGGCCGCGATGACTGGCACTGATGGGAAACAGGGTGGGTGGCAGCCAGTGGCGAGGGCCCAGCACAGCCCATGCCCACAGCTGGGGAGGTGCACGCTGACGTGGGCTCCACAGGGCTGAAGGATGACAGGGCCCGCCCCACATGAGGCACCCTGCTCCCCAGTGCTGCTCCCTCTCTCCGTCCTCTGGGAGGGAGCTGGGAGGACACAGGCTCTTTCCTCTGTGAAAGCCATCAAGGAGCCCAGCCCTTTCGGAACCCTGCGAGCCGCACAGAGCGGGGCCTCCCCGTGGAGATGACACACCCGGGGTGGAGACACCACCGTGCCACAGCCCAAGCGTCTTCCTCTAAACTCACAGAAACGACTGCTAGAAAGGTCAAGTCTTTCAGGTACATCTCAGAATCTTGGAAAACGGGACCCATCTTCGCGATGCATGGAGGGCCATCTGTATTTTCTCTGCTCTTTGTGAGAAGTGGCAGGCTTGTGTGAAATAGAGAAAACGGTCTGACCATTTTATTTGCTTTTCTTAACTTGAGCATGAGTGTGAAGCTGCTGGCGTGAGGCTGGATTTGCCCTGCATTTCTGTACACTCAGTAACAGATACCCGCACACTCACACAGCCCTGTATCATCACCAGGACCGCCGGTGACGCCAGGGCCCAGTCTTCTCATCCCGCTGCTGACAGAGCCTCGTCCAGCCAGCTCACAGCCCAAGAACATCAGTGTGCGCTTTCACTGAGGCGCCTCCTCTGGCAAAGGCAGAGGGGAAGGCTGGCTCCTCGCCTGTCAGCACCACTTTATCAGGGCACAGAAAAAGGCTTTGAAGACTTTTCTACCACTTTCTTATGTAACCACGCCTGTGAATCTTCCCAGGGAAAATTTCTATGATGAGTTCACGTACAGAGAGCTCCACACGCACCCTGGAAACCCACCTAAGGCAGGCCTGGGTGAGGGTCTGTGCGGGTCCGACGGGTGCTACTGCCTGGGTGGGGACATCAGCCAGTGCTACAGAGAAGCGATGCAGCTCAGTTCCTTCCTTTTGTAATAAAAGCCGTCTTTCACTACTAAATACAAGGCGACGCGTCTAAGCTCTTAGACCCTGGCAACGCCTTCCCTGCTTCTTGAGCGTTTCTTCACACAGCCCCGGTGTGGTCGTGGCTCTGAGGGGGACCGGGACCCCGGAGATCAAACATCAAGAGCTCAGACAGGTTCTGTCTCTCAGAGATTTCTGAACATCACCAGATCTTTCTCTGGGTTCTGTACAATTTGTTTTCGGCTTCTGTAAAATTAAATCCACTCTTTGCCTTGCATCTGTTTCATCTTAACAAGTGTGTGACTCTAGCGGTGAATAATTTCACAGCCTGATACAGAGGGGCTCGCTGCAGGTTGCTGCCCAGAGAAGAGACTTTTAGGGTGCTGCCAAAACATCACGGGCAAGTGCAGAAGCCTCTGGGTCCTCGATGGCAGCGCCAACCCTCTGGCTGACGGGACGGTAGGCTGGCCTAGCTGGGCAGCGGAGGCCTCTCCCGCTGGGGCCTTCGATCCGCTCCAGCAGCACTAGTCCCAGGCCTGGCCTCCACTAGGTCGACCCGCGAGCTCCTGTGAGGCCCCTCCACGCGAAGAGTCCAGTCGGAGCCCCAAGGGAACACCCGAGAAGCGGTGCTGAGCAGCTCAGGCCGGAGGTCTGGAGCAGGGCTGCCCGGCCGACAGCTTTGCCTCCCACTTCCAGCTGCACGGACCCTGGCAGGAGCGCAGGCTGTTGTGGCTTCCCGACCGGGGTGGGAGTGAGGCCCAGGTGACCAGAGCATGCCAGACGGCAGGATGGCAGCGCCCAGCCCCACTCAGCCCCTCCGCACCCCCTCCTTGGGCAGAGCAGCGGCATCTGTGAAGGCGTCCCCCGCCTTCCCACAGACCAAGGACCTCAGTGTCCAATCAGGATGCACCAGGAGCTGCGAATCCTTCTCAGCTCCTTGGGTGGCCCAGGTATGGAGATTCAGGGGATTTCCAGGCCCGATGTGCCCGCGGGTGACTTTTCCTTCCCTGCCGACCAGGGTCTAGGTGTCCCTGGGTGTCTGCCAGCTCTGCAGGGCAGCCCCACGTGCTCTTCAGCACCACGGCCTCCGCATTCTGTGGACCCAACTTCAGCCCACCTCGCTCGCCCGTGATGCGCAGTCTCTGAGGGCATCCGGCTGAACTGCTCACCCAGCTGCCAGCTGCAGCTGGACCCCGGGACCTTATGCCTTCAGCCCACAGAGCCTGGCCAAGACAAGGAAGTGCTGCATCTGACCCTTGCACTATGTTTTTGTTTTTGGTACCAGAGATTGAACTCGGGACCTTGCACTTGCAAGGCAGGCAGCAGAACCACTGAGCTAAATCCCCGGCCCTCGTGCTATGTTAACACATATGATGTGTCACTGAAACAAAGTAAAACTATAATTTAAAAGTTGTTTTAATCCATTTTAATCATCTAAAGTATTTACAGTAGAGTAACATGGAATCATTTTTTTAAACAGGATTTTAAAAAAATTATCAAATGATGCTTCAAGTAATACATAAAATATATTGATAATCTTTTTCAGTGCTCAAATCCTTTCCCCTCATGACAGTAGGCAAAAGTACACGGTCTTCCCGATTCCCCCCGTTTTGCAAAGGAAAAGGAGAATCTCCTTCGGATTTCTCAGCTGCACCCTGGCAGCTCCTGGGACTCAGGCTTCGGCCCAGAGCAAGCCTGGAGCAGTGGGCGGAGTGCGGGGGTGGAGTCCCAGCACTGGGACCGATGGGGATGCCTGGACCAGTTAGAGTATAGCACTTCTCACACACCAAGCATCCAGATGGTCCTGCCACCTCTGACGGGGGAAGGAGCCGAACCCTGAGACAGCGCGGAGCGCTCAGAGAGAAGACCCACGCACAAGCAAGGTCCACCCAGCCTCCCCGACGCGGAACCCTGAATGCTGTCTTTAGCACTTGGCCTGCCCTGGCCCTGTGTGCTGCCCAGATCAGCAGCTGTGGGGAGGGACGGGAATGGGTCCTGGGCTGCGGCTGCGCAAGGGTCAGGCTGAGGGATCATGCCGTGCCTCTGGCCTCTGTCCTCCATGACAGCTTTATTCCCTGCGTGGCCCCAGGGTGACCTCGACAGTGAGTCCCAGGACCCCGTCCACCTGCAGGGCCTCAGCTCCTCACTGCCCAGGGTTCCCCGGGCACTGTGGCTTTCACAAAGGAAAACTAGGGACACGAGGATGAGAGTCCCGATGATAGAAATGCCACGAGGGTGACATCACTGGGGTTCCCCATCTTTTCTGGGTCTGCTCCCACAAGAGCTCACTATGGCAGAGCGTACCGGCTGGGGAGACGGATCACGAGGGACCGAACACAAGGCCACGGGGTGCCTGCAAGCGGAGCTCACACTGTGGTGCCGGGGGTGCCGGCTCAGCAGACTCCCCACTGTGTCTCTCTCGGGTGTCAGGTTCATCACGTTTTTAATCCCCCCAGACATGTGTAAGTCAGAGGCAGGAAGCCAAAGGCTGCTCGAGTGCCACCTGAAACCCTGACAGCGCCATGGGCTCATTCCCGTGTGAACGCAGCATCCAGGTGGTCCCCACCCCATGTACTGACCAGCACCCATCACTGCCCTCATGCGCCCAGCACAGCTCTGACCAGGGCGTTGAGGAACCTGCCCTCAGACAATGGCCACGCCAGACAGAGGGGCACTGACCGGCCCACACTGCTCCTTTTTAGCAGCCTCTCCTGCTCCCGCCGTGAGAGCCAAGTTGGGCAGGGCTGCCCTGCGCGTGCAGGGGCATCTGACTTGGTGGAAACAGCACCACACAATGGGGACGCTTTTGCCATCACCCACACAGACGCACGGAAGCTACACACAGGGAGCCACTGCGGATGGTGCTGGGGACAGAGGCGAGGACAGCCCAGAGCTCGGCCTCTGGGGCCCGGGCCAGGCTTGTGGGACTGATCGCTGCGCCCTCACCAGACCCCTCCTCCTCCTCCACGGCCGCGGGCGGCTGCTGCATCTCCTCGGGGGAGCTCCTGCTGCCTGGGACAGTCGCGCGAGCCCGGGACCTCTCACCTGAGGTCTCTGGGTGCTGCACTGGCGTGGAGGTAGCTAGGCCCGGGAGGGGAATGTGGTCACCTGTGTCATCTTCCTCAAAGTCGTTAAGGCAGTACACTTCGTCCAGGTCAACGTCCAGGGTCCGGAAGCCTTTGGTGACCACGCCAGGCCGGGGGTCCAGGATGCCCCCCAAGTGAGGCTGGGCCAGCTGCTGCCAGTGGTGGAGAGTGGCAGAGCCTGGCAGGAGGAAGGCAGAGGAGAGGAGCGGGTTAGCACGGAGACTGACACGCAGGTCAGCACCCCCACCGGCTGTGCCTTCTCCGGCCACGACCCGAGGGGCCCAACTCAAGGAAGCCACTCCATCTTTAGATAAAACGAGCGTCACACTGCGTGCCAGGGGCTTCGGTTATGAAGCATTTTAAGCAACCCCAAAACTCAATGCATTATCGATTTATAGACAGCAGAGGGGGAAATGGCCAAACAAGCACAGACTGGGTGTATGCGCCTGCAGATTCCAGAGGCATGGACGCAGAGAGGAGGTGTTACTGCCCCACCCAGGACCCAGGCCAGGACAGCAGGGCCAAGGAGGGGGTGGTGTGACCATCACTGTCTTCCCTCGGGTCTCTGTACCTTCCAGCAGCTGGGCGCTGTCTGGTCAGGGGCAACCTAAGGACACGGTCAGTCCACGCAGCACAGGCTAAAGCCAGGAGCCAACTCCTGTGACACCAGGCCTAGGGCTCAGATGACGATGGCCTGTGATAACACCGGTGTGTCCTGAGGACCCGAGAGTCCTGCCGCTCTGCTCCGAGGTTACACACCCTGGGAACCCAGGCTCAGCGCATCCCCCCCAGCATGCTGAGGTGTGCTCAGCTTTCATCCGGCCAGGTCCCCCCTCATGTGACACCAGCAATACCCAGGGGCTGGGAGTCACCCGACACGAGGGCACACACAACACCCTTCCCTCATGAGATGAGGTCTTGGGGGGGCTTCTGCACCCCAGGCTACCCTGGGGAAGAAGAAAGGGGAACAAGCACACAGGATGCCAGAGCTCTGGAAGGGAGGACAGAGGTTTGCCAGCCCCCAGTGCCACAGGGCGGGCACTCTCCACAGGACAGTCTCAGTGGGTCTGGGGAGGGTTTCCTGGGCAATTTGAAACCCACTTGGAAGGAAAACCACAGCATTGAGGGTTTGCTAATGCCCACTCCCAGGTCTGCCCAGGTTGTCAGTATGCACAGATGAGAAACCAGAGTGTTTCTCCCAGATCTACTAAACATAAATACCCTCAATACAACAAGCAACAAACAGTAACGGGGCATGGTCACAGAAGGGGGTGCGCGTCGGGGAGGACAGCTGGCAAGCAGCTCTCCCAAGGCCGACTGCTCCACCTGGGGGACAGCTGCCCATGGCTGTCACAGATGCAGGAGGGGAGGAGGACGCTAATGCCAGAGAGGCAGAGGCCAGCCAGGCATGGGACAGCCCCGCCGCAGAGATCCAGGCAGCATGTCTATGCCGTGGCTGGGAAACTGCCCACCGCCGTGGCGGCCTCTGCTCCTAGGACTCTGTGAGGATCTGAAGGAGCCGCAGCCCCTGGGCACTCGGGGACAGGGACACTGTACAGAGCTAACCAGGACTTGTGCAGCTGAGTCCCCACTGCTGGTGTCAAGGTCCCTACCTAAGTGGATGCCTGTAAAACACTGCCCACTGTACCCACAGCACATCAACTCAACCTCAGAACACCCTGGGCAAGCATCGCCACTCACTTCACAGGAGGCCCCAGAGTTGGGCAACTTTCCAAAGCCGCTGGCCGATTAGTGGGGACAGAGCCAGGCTTTGCAGGAGGCAGCTCTCATAGGAACCTGACACTGCCCCTCCAAATGCAACAGACAAGACAGTAGGACATCCGTGTCTGGCCAGGGCGCTCTAAATGGCAGCTGGCGCCCCGCCACACAAAGGACTAAGTGGGTGTCTGGGGTAGCAGGGGACACACATGCTGCCATCCCAGGGGCCTTGTGCTCTCCTGCTTCACAGGCACAATCCCAGCGTCAGAGCAGCACCAAGGAGGAAGCTCCAAGAAGCCATACCGCGCCCAGCTGGCACTATGAGCTGGGGTCTTGGAGGCCTTCACTCAGAGGGGATAGGGAGCCAGGGAGGGGCAGGTGAGGAACCACAGCAGGGCGGCTATGAGAGGGTGCTGGGGCCAGGCCCAACTGTGCCACAGACCACCCCATCTTAGCCCTTGCAGAAAGGCACAGAACTGCACAGCAAGAACACCCAGCACAGCCTGAGGGGCAGCCACAAGCAGGGTCTGGCACTCACGCCTGCCACATGATAACAGAGGCCGTGCTGGGCATGGACCAGGGGCCACACTCTCCTGACGGCCCTCTCACAGCTTGCTGGACTTTCACACAAACCCTGCTGTTTCCAATTCACAAAGGGGACTTGGGCACAGGGAGGCGACTTCCCTAAGGTCACGCACTGTGTCCTTTCTCCAAACCATAGCTCTGCCTCTCAGCAGGCGTGAGCCTCAGGGATCAGGACTGACAGCCTGGACAGCTTCTGAATCTCCCGCGGTGGCTGAAGTTCTGAAGGAGAGGTGGAAAGCAGGGTGTGTCGATCACGCCTGTAATCCCAGCACTCTGGGAGGCTGAGACAGGAGGATCATGTTTCAGCCCAGTCTGGGCCATTTAGTGCTTTAATGAGAACCTGTCTCAAAATAAGAAAAGGGCTAGGGATTGTAGCTCAATGTGAAAGCCCTGGGTTCAGTCTCCAGTGCCTCTAAGGAAAAATAAAAGGAAGTGATTTGGTGAGAGCCACCTCAAACCCCACTGTGCGCCTTAACTGTCGGCTGTGGGGCTCACAGACTCTGCTACGCCCGCCTCCTCCCCACTAGGAACAGGCTGGGGACAGCACACGACCTCTGTCCCAGCTGGCAGAGATACAGTTCTGTGGAACGATCGAGGGTCTTCACTGGCCGCTCCCTGCCCACATCTGCTTCCTCAACCCCAGCCCCCACCTCAGCGTGAGATATCCCGGCTGCCAGCAGGCACAGAGTCAGGCATCTGCAGGAGGCCTGCGGGGTAACGATGACCTCGATCACAGTCAGAAAGGGAGAGCAGAGTAAAGGAAAACACACGGCCCTGCCTCGGCCTCCTGCCACAGTGTATCCAGTGCAATGCTTCGTTCCATCAGGTAACCCGGGGAGAGCAGGGCTAATGCACACGCAGGGTAAAGGGTGATTCAGTCAGTGGGGAGGAGGAGATGGAAGCCACGGCTCCCGTGCTTGATCCCAGCAGCGCTCTCCAGGGCCGCACCCCAGCCTCTGCCTGGCTGTGGAGATCAAGGGGCCTCACGGGCTTCTCATGTGGCCAGGGCCAGAAGACGATGTAACAACGTGGCCTGGCAGGCACACGGACGGCCCAGCCTGGGCACTGGGCACACGGCCGGTTAGACCTGAGCTGCCAGCAGGCGGGTCTGAGTACCTGGGTTGCAGGAAGCAGACGCTGGGAGCGGAGCACACAGCCAGCACACCGCTTCCTTTCCACAGTCCTGACAGTGCGAGCCACTGCACAGGGGCAGGGGATGGCCTGCCCGACGTGGGGACTGGAGAAGCAGCACGGCACCAGAGGGCTCTCACTCCGCCTCACCACCACACAGAGACCACTGTGCAGGCCGCGTTCTGAACACCTATGAAGCCAGAAGCTACAGCGCGGAACGGGCGGAGCCCTGTGTGAGATGTGATTTTAGCTCCCAGTGAGCAGGCTGAGAGCAACTTCTTCCCATATGCGGGCAGCACCGGAGCGCCCCCTGCCCGACTAGTGCAGCACAGAGATTCTGCCCTAAGCGCACAGCAAAGGGAAATAAAGATGAACTGGTCAAAATAAGCTTCAAAGACGTCCTACAACATGCTTGGAAAATGAGTCACAGAAAGCAAACAAGGCAGAGATGAAGTCCAGTGGTCCCTGAGAGACAACGGAAGCAAAAGAAAAGAAAGGCCGAAAGTAATCAGAAATGGGAGATTTTATTGGAAGAAAAATGGATATAATCACAGGTCAGAAACGACAGCCAAGCTTCCAACTGAGTAAGTGATGAAAGAGCAAGCCGTGCCTTCTCTGAGATCTAGCAAGGGTCTAAGCCACACAGGCAAACAATTCTGAAGACAGAAAGCCCACCCTCTGCCTCCCTGTGGGAAGTGCGGGTCTTCAACCAGCCCGCCTCTCCCACAGCTGCATCTCACTGGGGCAGGGTCCCCGGGCAAAGTGGGCACTTCCTGGACAAAACCTGTGTGCTGGCGCGGTGTGTTCTGGGTTCCCAGCACGTGGCTACTGCACCTTTGAGTAAGACCTCAGTGCCAGCACGAGCACCTGGGCTCCTCGGGGAGCCCCTCAGGAGCTGAACGCCGAGCGGGAGACAGGTGGCTGCCCGTCGGCAGCGTGACAGAGCCCTAAAACTCCTGGAGCGACCAAACTGAAGGTGTGAAGGAAAGCTACAGACACTCGATGGCCCTTGGCAGTGTAGTGGCAGAAGCTGATGACACACTGTGTAATTCCCAAAGCAAAAGAAGAAAGAAACAAGAAGAAAAGGTGTGATTTCCAGGAGCAGGTTATCCAAGGAGGTCGGTACTGAAAGTGAGCTGCCTGGGCAGGACATCAGGAGGAGCGGACCACCTGGCTACACAGCAATGCCCTGGCCCCTGAACCCCAGCACCACCCAGAACCTAGGTCAGAGCACCCCTCCTTCCAGAGATCAAACCAGAACCCACCCATGGGTTCCTGCAAAGCCCGGCCTCCAGGTCTGCTTGGTACCACTTCCTGACCTGCCCAGCGCCTCCCAGACCCTGCCACTCTCCTGGACTCTCCCAGCTGTGCTGCTGCCTCCCGGGTGTTTCCTCAGGCACCAAGGGCAGCGGAGGAGCCAGACAGCTGGCACCTAGGCCAGCACTGTGCTCCTAGCGGAACTCAAACCAGCAGCGCGGGTGGCTGTCGCGGAAGAAGAAGGAGTAGGCGTGGCTCAGGTGGCCCGCCTTCTGCAGGTGGATGAGGGACCACAGCGAGTCCCCGAGCAGGGCAGACAGGGGCCGCGGGCCCTTGCGGTCACCTTCCAGTGGCTTCACAATCTGCAGCTTCTCTGGCAGGTAGGAGCGGCTGCTGAAGGACATGCCCGAGAAGCCGGTGATCTCTGAGAGGCGGGAGTGGGTGCCCAGCGACAGGATGCTCTCGGTGGGTGTGAGGGAGCCGCTGCGCAGCTCGCCCTTCTCTGCCAGCTCCCGCAGCTTCCTCTCCTGCTCCTCCTCGAAGAACCTCCTCTCCGACAGGTAGTTCTCACGGCGCAAGGATAGCCGCCTCAGTGCTGTCTCCAGGTCGTGGGTGCCCGGAGTGCCAGGTGTGCCCGGCTTCTTGGTGTGCTCACTGGGCCTGGAGGAGAAACGGGGCGAACACTGGACCCGGGGTGCAGGCCTGCCAACCAGCACTCTGGAGGCTTGGCTCAGCAGGCGGTTGCAAGTTCCAGCCCAGGCTACACAGCGCAGCCAGACCTTGACTCACAGTAAAAATAAAAGGGCTGGAAATGTAGCTCAGTGCGAAGGCCCTGCGTTCAGTCCTCAATACCAAAAGGAAAAAAATTAAAAAGAATGGAAATAATAAATGTCTGCCCCAAACAGCCAACCCCACCTCCTCTGAGGGGCTGAGTGCTTTTCCTCGGGCAGGCACCGGACGGAAGTGAACTGAGAGGGATTCGGTCCCTGCGAGGTCACCCTGAGCCCTGAGAAAGACGTATTCTGGAGGCTGCAGCTTCTTGCTCCAGAGCAGCTTCTCCTTCCTCCTGAGCTAAGGGCACTCAGATCTTAATTACGACCAAAGCCAGGTCAGATCACAGATTCCCCGCTGACCCAGATGGCAGGTTCTGTGGGGCTTCAGGACGGAGGAGCGCTTCTTAGGCACCCTGGCTCCCTGCTGAAGCAAACCAGGAGCCCCCAGGGTCCTCCCAGCCCTTCCAGCTCCCAAGCCACAAGGGCGTGTGCAAAACAAGCGTGTGTTCTGCTGCTGGACAGAGGGCCTAGCAACAGAACGCACTCACAGACTGTCTCCCCCAGCAGCGTATGGAAAGCAGGCCTGGGCATCACGGAGATGGACGAGGGGAGGTAGGCAACTATGCCCGACGACCACCACACCTGCGCCCAACCCATACACCTCTCCCGAAAGCACAAGACAGGAGCACGCAGCCACTCACGCACCCCAGGTCAGCAGCCTCGGTCTCCAGGATGATGCTGCTGGTCTTGTTGTCCAGCACAAAGCTGCCCATGTCACTGCCGTAGAAGCTGGACCGGGGGGTGCTGACACAGCTGGACAGCAGGGAGTTCATGGCCGAGGACTGGTTGGAGCCAGGGATGTTCATGGGGGAGGGGGTCAGCGACCGCTGCTTGACTACCTGGTTGATGTTCCTCACAGTCTCAAAGATGCGCTTCTGGTGCCTGGGGTAGGGAGAGTCAGGAAGGACCTAGGGTCAGGCCCTGCAGAAAGGGCCCAGTGAGGGGCCAACAGGTGCCTGGCCCAGGGTCCCTGGGGAGCCGGCTGGCCGAGACTGACGTGTGCGTGCCTCTACACTGTGAAGTCAGGAGCCTAAGACGCCAGTGTGTGCTGTGCAGTGAGGTGGACCCAGAGCCTGACCTACAAACATAATGCTCATTGCTCCTGTCTCTGTGCAGATGCTCCCCTTTCATGACTGTGTTCCCTGGAATGCTCAGGCCGCCAGCATGCACTGGGCTCAATACCAGCTGCAGGATAAGTATTTGCTGACCATTCACAGAAACACAGCAAGACTTAAAGCCAGTCTTCAGCTTCAAAGCCGGGGGCTAAACCGGCTCTGTCTACTCTAGAAGCTGTTTCCAGGAACACAGCCACACATGGTGCCGGCTGGCTCCCTGGACGGGGAAGGGCTTCCTGTGGCACAGAGGCTCCCGCTCCCCTCCTGACACCCCGAGTGCAGGGCGCAGCCAGCCCCTTTCAAGCCCCGCCCTGGAGCTGGGCACAGAGCTCAGAGAAGACCTGGTCCTAGGCTCCTCCCAGACGCGGCGGGCAGGAGCCTTGCCAGGCCCACAGAGCCCTTGCCGCTCATTCCGCAGCCTTTCTTTTCCTACCGGACACTGAACGCCCCACTGAGACCACCAAACCGAGAGGCGTACGCGATGTCTGGAGACTCAGGCTCTTCCAGCTGCAGCTCCTTGCGCATAGTCCCCTCGATCTCTGCCGCCAGGGAATCCTGGGAAGAGCAGAGACACGCTGTGTGAACGGCATTCAGGCCTCGGACTTCCTCGGCACGGCACAGCATTGGGAGCACCCTCCACGTCTGCACAATCGCCAAGGTGGCTTCTGGACCCGGAGCCCCACGGACATGTGTGAGTGAGGCCCTCACCACGGCTCAGCCCCAGCTCTGCCTGGAGGCCCACGGACGGGTGGTGATGTATGGGGGAGGCGCACGTTCAGAGCAGTGTGATGGTGTTTCCAGACGCTGTCAGACACGGCACCACGGTCACGCGGGCCACACCACGTTGCTGTGCCCGGGGTCTGTGGGATCCCCACAGCCCTGGCTCGGGCACGCAGGTGACATCCAGTGTGTGACCCGAGTGAGGCGCTGTCTCCCCGGCCCTCCCACTGGCCAGCCTGGCCCACCTGCTTGGGAACAACCCACTTGGGAAAGGCAGAACCGTTTCCAGAGCTTGATGTTTCACTAAATTATGGATGCACAGCCTGAATATAAAGAAGTCTTGGTAAGCTGTTCTTCGAGCCATCCGTCCACCATCCACCCATCCGTCCGCCTACCCATCATACGTCTGTCACGACTCCATCTGTCCATCACCCCTCTGACTATCAATCTTTCCATTCCGTCCATCCATCTTTCATCCCTCCATCCATCCGTCCGCCTACCCATCCACAAGTCATCAATCCGTCTTTCCATTCGTCTATCTGTCCCTTATCCATCCACCCATCCACTGTCCATCCGTCTAAACGCAGTGCCTATTACGTACCTACAATTCTTCAACATGCAGAGTGCTGTGTTTGGTACGAGGTAGTGAGGAGAGAAAGAAAGGAAAATTACAAGACCTGGTCCCCACCTTCAAGGGGCATTATTCTGACAGAAAGGAAAACGAATAATCTCATTTCCCTGTATCCCAGTGTCACAGGGAGACGACAGGCCGAAGGGCTTGGCCCAACTTCCACAGGGACAAAAATCTCTCAGGAAATCCCCTTTTCCTCCATGTTCCTCCAAACAAACAAAGCAGGCCAGGGCTAAAGAAGCTCACATGGAAGAGGCATGAAAACGAGTTGTTTTCCACAGTAACTGAGAGAATGGCTCCCTAGTATACAAAGGCCTGGCGGACCTGTGAGGGTGCCGTGAGGATCCAGAGTGACTTGCGAGGGGTCCACTAAGGTCAGAAAAGAACATGAGCAAGTGTAGTCTGACTAAACCAGGATTATCTTTCAGAGGCAGGAGCAGAGGATGGCAGGCAAGGATCCAACACGACTTGTGTAGCCAAGCCAGCAGGGGCTCCTGCCCTCAACCCAGCAGCAGATGGGAGCCGCCTAGAGCAGGACTCGCGGGGCACGCGAGGTGGAAATGCGGATGCTGCTCACCATGGGGAAGAGACCCAGCGAGTGGTAGCGCCGGGCTGTGGTGCTGGGCATGGTTCTGTTCCGCAGGTTCTTCAGCTCCTCCTGGGCCTCGTGCAGCATCTCCATGCACTCTGCGTATTTGTCCTCCAGCTCGCGCAGCTGCGGGCATGGAAGATGCAAGGTCAGGACCTGGGGCTCCAGCTGCCACGTATCCCCACCCTATCCCAGGAGCTCCAGAGACCACAGCGACACGCCCAGCAGACCCACTGGCCCTGGACCTGCGGCCAAAGTGTAGAGCCCTCCAGGACCAGGGCCAGCTGCCGCCTCGGCTCCCCTAAAACACCAGCAGTGGGCCGATGAGCTGAAAGGGTCAGGAGCCATCTCCAATTGGGTGCAGAAGGAGCACTTCTCAGAGCCATGTGTGCCAGGCCCTGGGCCGGACAGGATCTTGACTCCCATAGCCAGCAGCAGGGCTGCAGGCACAGCACCAAGGTGAGCGTGGCACAGAATGGTGGTTTGGTGGACAGGCCTAGAGCCATCGGTGGAGGCTAACCCACCTCTCCTGGAAGCAAGAGGCCCAAGACACGAGCAGACACCCACCTCGGCCGTGAGCTGCCGCTGGGCATCCTTGGCCGCCCCCAGGTGCTGCACGAGCTCCTCGTTTTCCACCGCACACTGCAATGGCAATGCTGTCACCTTCTCTGGAGGCTCAGAGGAGCCTCGCTGCCCTGCTGACGGGAGCTGCCTCAGCCTCGTCACTGGGGGGATGCCGGTGGTCACGGCTCCCTTCTAACGGGGCCTCGGCCGCTCTCCAAGGCAGTCCCCTCTCTTTGCTAGGTTTGCTCTCCTCTCACTCACAGCACAGGCCTGGGAGCCTGAGCCGGCCCCTGTGTTGTCCTGAGTCTCAAGGGGACACTGTGACCTGCAGCCCATCCACCCAGGGGCACAGAGGGAAAGCAGACACAGGTGGGGTAGTCCGGAAGAGTCCTACGCTCCTCCCCGAATACATCCCTGCAGTCGGAGTCAAGGGGTTCACAGACCACAGCGAGGCTGCCACTCTGGGCGAGGAACTTTTTATTACACAGTCTAAGCCCTTCTCGGAGGCAGCACACACTCCGGCAGGAAGCCACCTCCTGCAGTAATGGCCCCCGCCACCTCAGCCACCCGCTTCTGTCCCTGTGGAGAAGCACAGGTCTTACAGCTTTTGCCTTTTTCTGCAGATCCACAATCTGCGAGAGTAGGTGCGTGATCTCCTCTTGCTGGCGGGCAGCATCCTCCGTCTTCCTGGCCAGCTCCTCCGAGATGCTAGCGATCTGCACATTGGCATCCCCTGGACACAGAAGTGACAGTCGCGAGAGGAAGTCAGGTCACACGCATGCAGCCAGAGGAATGAATGGCTTCCCGGGAGTGGGGATTGCAACAGCCTTCCTCCAGGCAGTCCGGGAGCAGCCACTCCTGCAGGCTGCTGCTCCTGGGTCAGCATGGGCCAGGGTTGGGACTCAGCCACACCCCAGCATCGCTGCTCTGAGCCACAGCTGCATGGGCGCAGTTTTGGGGGCTATACCTAACGCCCCTAGATCCGAGCTCAGGCCATCTCGTTTCCCCACGACCACATCACTGAATGCAGAGTTTCCGCCTGCCTTTGTCTTGTCTCAGCTGGAAAGCTTATCTATGTGAGCTGGACGCCCAGCGAGTATCAGCGTGCAGGCCCCATGGCCTCCACCCTTGTCTTGGCACCCGGGCAGTCCCAGCTCAGCTGCCATGTCCCTACCACTCTGACACGAAGCCGCCACTGGAACGGAACAGCACCGCAGCAAAGGGCCATGGTCCTACATGGCTCAACCTAGCACCCAGCAGTCAGAAGAGGTCCTGGCCAGACAACGCCATGGGCGTGGAGGCAGACGGGGAGCCCTGGGGAGGCCGTGGGCACCTACTGAGCTCCTTGACGCAGTCGTTGACCAGCTGCTGCTCTTTCTCCTCATAGGTGATGGTTTCGGTCTTCAGCTGGCAGGCCTGTGGACGGGGCTCCGGTCAGCACCCACACTTGCCTGGGCTGCGGGCAGGTGGGCCTGAGCACGGAGTTGAGCTGGCAGACAGGGCCCAGGACACCCAGGCTGCCCGCACACTCCCCACCTGTCACCTGTGTGCCCTCAGTTACAGTGCCCTCTGGTTCCCTGGGGCAAAGGGATGCACGTTCTCAGGCTGGAAACCAGAGCAAACCTAGGCCCCCTTCTCAGTTACCGGGCTATGCCCTCAGTATGGGAGGGGCTGGAGGAGGTACAGGCCACAGGACAGGGCATACAGGGGCACAGACAGGCTCTCTCCACGTGTGACATGAGAGACACAGCTGCTCCACCCACTGACATCTTCCCAGAGCCTGGGGCCAGAGCGGACCCGGCCTCTGACAGGTGCCCAGGGCCTCGGTGCCTGCTGAGATGGACAGCAATGGCTCTCCACACCCCCTTCTCAGAAGGGGCAGCGAAGAGGAGAGGTGTGAGCATGGCTCACTGCCTGATGGCGGGACTGGCCATCAAACACCTGCCAGCCCAGGGCCCGCGTCCCCGTTGTAACGAGAATCACAGCAATGGGCTTTTAGCCTCCTGTGAAGACAGGAAGGACTCACATGGGCAAAATGTGTGGCGCTAGGCTCACCCACACAGGAGCAGCCCTACTGCACAAGTCCTGAGCTGCCTCAGACCCGCTTCAGTGAGGCACCTGGGAAGGACGGCCCAGATTCCATGTCCGAGGCCTCGGCATGGAGTGTGAGCCCTCAAAGCCAGCTTCTCTCAGAGCCGGGGAACCCGGGCAGGCTGTCTGTGAGGGAGCAGGGGACCTCCACTCGGGGCCACACGAGGCAGGGCAGACAGTGCCTCACCTCGGACCGTAGGACCACGTTCTCCTCCTCAAGGTCCTTCAGCTTCTTCTGCAGAGAATCCAGGTGGAAGTAATTCTGCACAGAAGAGGACGACTCATTCCTCTTCAGCCTGGGGAGAAGCAAGATGTCCACCATGGCCAGGCCCACAGGGGACAGCTCATGGGCTTACAGCCAGCATGCCCCCATGCCCAGGAAAGCCACCAACCCCGGGCCCTGCCCCAGCCTCTGTCCACAGTCTGTGGGTGGCACATCCCCTCAGGACACATGGAACAGCCTCTACTTAAAGCCAGAAGTTCTGGGGTACCCTGGACTTCTGAGGGGTCCCCACAGCTTCTGTCCCAAGGACCCACATGGCACCTCGTGTTTCCTGCAACACCCAAGACCACCTTGGTGCCGATCAGCAAGCCAGCCTCCTTGGCTGGCCTGACAGGAGCATGAGACCCAGCAGGGGCAAAACGGAAACCCACCCTCACGTCCTACTACAACACAGCCCACCCTGGGGACGCCATGGCGGCGCTGGAGGAGGGGACACTGCTCGGTGAAGGCAGGGACAGCCAGGGACTCACGGGGTGGAGCAGACGGACTCGGGCTCACTCTCCTCTGCAGCACTGGTATAGAATTGCAGCAGCTCGTCCTTCATGGACAGCTCATGGCGGAGCTGGGAGACCTGTGGACAGCAGGGCAGGTGAGAGGCAGGATGGCCTGCACCCAGTCAGCTCTCCAACCCGTCACAGGGGTCCTGGTGGAGTTCACACCACTCAAGGGAAGTAGGTTTCCTTAAGACAGTTACTTTTTGACTGAAACTGTCTAAATTCATAGGTTTTACTTCGGTACAGAGAAGAGCAGAGGAGGGACCAGAGGGCTCCAGCACTGTCAGGGACAAGACCTCCTGCTGGCCTTGGAAGCAGCCAGGTGCCCAGCTGGGTCAATGGTCAGAGCACAGAGTCACAGCACCCTAGGGCACAGGAGGCCATTCAAGCCTGCCTGAACTAGACCCAAGTCACAGCAGTGCTGGCTCCAGGGCTCACCTGCCTCCTGGGGACAGACCCACCATGTCCCGTGCCCCTCACGGCCCGGCCAGGCTCCCTATGCTCACTGATCACAAGACAGAGACTTCCAGTGCAGGGTGGAAGCAGGCCCTCAGGCCCTGGCCATCACGACTACTGCAGGATGGTTTACAAGTCGTGCTGGTTTATACCTAAGGGCTAGGAAGGAACAGACTTGGGCTGTAAACTTTTCCTTTGCCCTCTCGACACCCGGTGCTGAGGAACAGTCGGTGCTGTAGAAGAGAACTGCAGCTCTGCTTTACCTCCGCCCATCAGAGGACCAGCCTCTCCCAGCTCAGCACCGAGACTGGCCCACTCCCCGAGATGGCTGTGCAGCCGGCGTGGGGACAGTACAAGGGGCACTCGAGGAGCCTGGGATGACCACATGCAAGCTCTGGTGGCATGTCCCCTGCTCAGAAGGGCCACAAAGGGGGTGGGACCCACATGCTCCCTGTGTCACCAGAGACGTGGCCAGGGAAGGCAGGTCACAACAGTGTTTCTGCCTCCCCACACCTTGGAAGGACTCTGGGCTAAACGCTGTCTAACTGCACAGGAACCCTTTCCACCTCATTACTGCAACTGCCACACCCAGACAACCACAGCTTCTACGAGGGACATGCTGGGGACAGGCACAGGGCAGCCCCACAAGACAGTCTCTAAGAGAAAGGAGGGAGAAGTGAGCAGAAGGAGTCCCGTGAGAAGAACAGTGGGTGACAGGGAAGGAGCCGTTGAGGGTCCTGGCTCTGAGTGTCTAACCTGTGCCAGGGACGCCAGCTGACCACAGCCTCCCTCCCGTCCGTACCACGTCCCTTCCAGAAAGTCGGCACCGTCCCCGCTAACCCCGGCCCACTTAGGACAGCCCAGCTTGGGTGGGGGGCTGTGGCTCAGTGCAAAGGCCCTGGGATTTGAAGTAATAAATAAACACACCGCGAATCCCGAATTCCAGCCCTTCCCTGGGCTGGCAGCATAGTCTACATCTACATGCGTCTCGTGAGAGCACAGGGCGGCTCCATGCACGCAGGAGGCTGCTCTCGCATCTGTCCCACACGCCCTCAGCGGCAGCGGTGGCTGTGGCCCAGCCCTCCTGTGCCGGGCACTGTGGCCCAGCCCCACTGCAGGCCAGAGAGGACTGTGCTGCCCGGCGGCCTCACCTCCTCCCGGATGTGCTCCACCTGCTCCTCCAGCAGCTCGTTCCGCTCGCTGAGGGCCTTGTTCTTCTTCAGCAGTGACTGGCCGATGCGCGCAGCCAGCTCCAGGTCCCGCTCTTTCTGCAGAGAAAGAGGGAGGATGGGGGTCGAACCCTGTGCCCCAGGGGCTCCAGGCCCAGAGTTAAAGGGCAGGCAGAACAGGGGCCCCAGAAACAACCAAAGACTTAGTCCACAGTGCTCCATCTGTGTTGGCGTCTGGGGCCTGCTCAGGGGAGAGCCTCTGCCATATACAGACTGTGGCCAAAAGCACAGCGAATGTCTGAATTCAAAGAAATGTGCTACAGTAAAAGTCATGCCACAGAGTCCCCCGCCCTTGCTTCCCACACACTCATCCCACGGCCCGCCACTGCCTGCAGCAGCTCTGGAGCCCTCTTTCCTGAGCATCTCTAGTGGCGCTGTCCTGGCTGCCTGCAAGTCCTGGATGGATTCAAAGTGCTTCCCTTTTATGGTAGTTTTGACTTTAGGAAAAGCCAGAAGTCAGACAGTGCCAGATCCCATGAGTGACGTGGACGACTGAAAGTGTAAATAAGGACTGAAAGGCATACTGGGAGGAAAAGGAGCAAAGGGGGAGGGGACATGGGAGGGGAGGGGAAGGAAAGACGGGGATGGAGTGAACGTGAGAGAAAGAAAAAACGGAAACAAAGTCTTTGCAGATAGGGAGGGATGGAGGGGCTGAAGGGAGGGCAGGGGAGTGGGGAAAAATGAGAACCACGATGGATTATGTAAAGGTGCAGGATTCCAGGGATGAGTATCATTACATCATATGCCTTAAATGTCCCAATACAATTACATAGGAAAAATAAAGTGGATGAGGACATGCTATGATACTTTACGAACCTGAGTTTCTGTTGGGTGGCACTCAGCAGCATTCTCTATTTTTGATCACTCTGTAAAGACACTCGTGAAAGTTTCAGAACTTCCAGAACTGCTGCAGAAAGTAGCCAGGAAAATGGGATAAGTGTGTTCAAAGCAAGAGGAGTACTCTGAGGGGCTTCGTGGCAATGGGTCTTTTACTACAGTAATTTTTAAAATCTACCAACCCTGTATATTTTGATCACCCCTTGTACGTACAAGAGCAACACAGACATAGAGGGTCAAAGGGATGTCTGCACACCAGAGACCTGATAGAAAAAAACCTTTGTTCCTCCAGAGACAGACTGCTTCCCAGCACCTCTTCCAGCTGAGCCTGAACTGCCCACTGAGGGCCGGGCTGTTGTGCTGCCCGGGCCGGAACATGGAAACACCCAGCAACTCTTTGTTGGATGAATGAATGAAGTCTAAAACGCTCCTACAATGAAGCTAACAGCTGGCACAAGGAGGTGGCCACTATAGCACCCATCAGGCTAGAAGTACTGAGTTCCTACTTTTGCCACATGCGAAATAAAACATTGAAGGTACTCTGAGATACAGTTAACATCTGTTTTGCCTGTTATGCCTTTTAAATATAGGAACAGTTACATGGGCTCTGTCTTTAAAAACAAAATCTTTCAGGATTGGGAATTTAGCTCAGTGGTTCCACCACTTGCCTTGCAAGCATAAGGCCTGAGTTTGAATCACAGTACCAAAAAGTAAAATGAATAAATAATTTAAAAATTAAAAACTAAAAAATAAAAACAAAATCTTTCGAAGGGCAGAATAATGCACAGAACGCCACACTTGAGAACACAGTTCCATGGTTCAGCCACTAATACCAAGTGGAGGGAGTAGTGAGAGGCAGGGAAAAGCTGTCCTCAAGAGTGGACAGGTGCCATTCCCAGCTGGTTCCTGCTGGGGGCAGCTGTCAAGGACAGCTCTGGAGAAGTCCCACCGAGGATGCTCAGCTGGTCCCCAGGCCTGAGGGCAGGAACGGCCCTCAGGGCAGGGGAGCCAAGACAGCCCCAAGGTCACATCCACCCTAAGTAGAGGCTCCGCCCCTCAGGGTCAGGTGCACTGCAGATCCCCCGCCAGTCACAGGTTATCATGCGCTGCTGGGCTATGAAATGGCTTCAGCACTGGCAACTGGTGGTTTAAATTACACAGACCAGGACAGCCTTGAAAACACCAAGGACACTGCACGTGGCAAAGGGGCTCCTTGTGCTTAACCCTTTGCCGGTCGTACTTCTGTGAGGACTCTGCTGCCCCCCCCCCACCCCTTGGCCTTGCTTTGCTGCTAGGATTGGGCCTGGGCCTCATGTGAGCTGGGCAAGCGCTCTGCCGGTCACAAGTTCAGCAGCACCAGACAGGACGAGCCTGAGCTTGGGGCCCAGCACTGCAACTGTTAGGCAGGGAAAGGTCAGGCAGGAGAGCGGAGGAGGCCTTGAAAACCCTTCCAGCCTTCTGACCTGTTGACCTGTCGTGCTGCTGCAAACTGGGGGAAGCAGCAGCTTGTATTTCTCCTTCAAGGATCCTCCCCTGAATGTACAGTGCTACAGCGGCCTCCTCCCTCTGATAACCCAGGAGTGTCCCTGAATTCCAGCCCCGCCCTCAAGTCAGAGGGACTCCACAGCCATGGGGCTCCTTCTCATAAGGCGATGGACTCCGCCCCAGTCCCCAAACCTCCCACTGCACACTCTGCCCCTGAAGCTGGCCTTGAGGGACAGTTGAGCTATAAGTACCCATCTTGGTCCATACAACCCACGCTTCCCTCCCTCACCCAGAACTCAGGACAATGAAGACGCTCAGCTCTGTCATCCATGCTGGCCCCTGTGTCTCCCCAGAGGATTCCTCATCCCATGGCTTCTGTCACCTCTCAGACTAAACAGCTGGGCTTACCTGGTCCCTAAGGAAGGGACTCCGAGTTCTGTGGTGGGGGAGCCCAGACAGAAAGCGAGTGTCCAGGGGCAGCTCACAGTCAGCACCTCACACAGGTGGCTCCTGTGCCCACACTGATGAGCAACCACAGGCTCTGGCGGCCATGTCCACACCTGTGTGGATCTGAACTCAGTGACTCCCTTCTCCCCTAGAATGAGCTCAGGCTGAGTGTCAGGCAGTCAGCGCTGCTGGCGCCCTGCTGACCACCTGTCTATGAGGCTCCGCCCACCCAAGCTGCCAAGTTCACCAGGCACAGACATCGCAGGCCTTCGCCACGCTCTGCCTGCACGCAGACGAGTGAAGGGGAGATGGTAACACTGCAGTTGCATTAGGCCAGGCCAGCCACATAAGCACCTGGGGGAGGGAGGCCCTGGCGGCACACGGGGCAGGAGGCAGGCAGTGGGTGGCTGCCGTGACAGAGCTGCAGACCTGACCTCCAGCCAGGCCTGGGCTCCTGCCTGTCCGCACCCTCAGGGGCAGCTCTCCCTGTTCTACACAGGAAACCTGACCCAGGCAGTGATTACCTGGGCATTCTCTGCTGAGGGGAAGCAGGAAGTTACAGTAAAAAGCTTATGGCAGAAATAAAAACATTTTACAAGTTATTTCCTCTAGTTTCACTTAGGCAATGGGCTGGTTGGGCTTCTCTTGGAGAATGACAAGAATGCAAAAACTATACCACTTCTCACAACCAGCCGTCCCACGCAAGCACTGGTGCCAAAGCCCGGAAAATACCCAGGAAATGGACAAGGATAAAGACAATGGGAGACCACAGGCGTCCTTCAGCGCCCTGGGACCGTGCTAGTGGAAAGCAGACCTCGTCCCAGTCTGCGCCCACTTCCTGCGGCTGTGCTGTGCCTCGACGCCCTCACCTGGACGGACATCCAGAGCTCGCTCCTTGCTCCAGTAACCTCAGGACAAAGCGCAAGGCTCCTTCCCAACAGCAGCAGACCAGAAAGCCAAAGCCGCTCACCTCCACACCAGCAGCCAACGGCACAGCCGCAACAACCTGTGCCAACACCCTGCAGGGCAGGCACCAGCAGAGAGCACAGCGCGGCGCAGCCACAAGAGACCCGGTGGTCCCGGTCCTGGTTCCGGAGAATCAGTGAGCTCAGCTCTGAGGCTTACCAGGACAGGGACATGGGAGCCTTGCCAGGTACAGGGCACTAAGGTAAGGACACACTAACCCTTCACAAGCGCTCTGCACAGCAAAGAACCATGGGAAGGGGCTGTCCAGCCATTCTGTAAACACAAGACCACCTTTCATAAGGTGACAGGCACTAGGGAGACTGACTGAGGGAGGGAAGCGAATCCCAGATACCCAGGGCCTTCTGACGGCTCCAGTCCTTGCTCAGGGGCCAGGTCCCTGCCCATCCCCAGGGACAGGGGTGGCTGAGATCATCGCCCTGTGCCTTGGACTCAGAGCCCTGCACATGCCCAGAGGCAGCAGTGCTCAAAGGAAAATGCCTGGCTGGCAATCAATGAACCGAGTAACAAAGCTGGAAGCGGCCAGGTCCTGCCCGTGCCTACCTTATTCTCCCACTGCCTCTAACAGTCAGGGAGATGTCCAGTCCCTGTCATCCTACTTATCTGGGAGGTGCTTGCAGAGTCACAAGACCCACTGCAGGGAAAACAAGGGCCATGAGCTGGCACTGTCCACAGGAGGCCAGGTCCAGGGCGGGGACAGGTGGGCCTGCAGCACACACGTCACCACCTATGATGCACAACTGTGGCCGGCAGCATAGTCTCTGCAGTGCACGTGGCTTGTCTCACGTGGCCTCCCTCCTCGTGAGACTTGCCATGCTTACCCTGCTCATTTCCACACTGTCTCTCCACAATATTCCACTAGCCTGATAAGCAGAAGCCGAAAGTACATCTAGAAGACATGGACCATGATACCATCTTCCTGACCTTTAAAATACGCCATCAGTATGTATTTTAGGGTTTCTCAAATCCCGGACCAGGTATTCTACCGACTATTTAAATGCCACTGCCGCATATTACATATGCAGCACCACTTATATATAGACAGACAGCATGAACACACTCCTTTAAAGCACAAGATATCTACACAAAAGGACAGCTGCAGAAGCCGACACACAGAGCGACCAGCACGACAGCAGGGGCTGGGTCTCAAAGAGTCCTGAACCCACGCCCGGGCTGCGCGAACCCACGACCAGTCAGGTGCAGACCGGGGTGGTCCTGTGTATGGACACTTACCTCCTCAAGAAGCCGAGTGACAGCATCTATGTCATTGTACGTCTTAGTCATCTGGCCAACTCTCTCAGCACAGAGAACTGTAAGAAACAGAGAGGACGGTGAGCTGCTGGCGCCCGCCTGCCAACACAGGGCCCCCAACGGAATCAGTGGTGTGGTTGGGTTTGGCCCACATGGGAGCATTGTGGGCCAGGTTCCACATCCCAGTCCCACACCCCATGTCCGGTCTGCAGGAGGGGAGGAGAGTGACACCTTGGCACCGCGCATGTGTGTGCATGCATGTGTGTGCGCGTGTGTACAGTGTGCATGGTCAAGGGTATGGAGGGCCACACAGAGGACCGGAGGGGTTCTGGCCTCATGAAAGCTCACAAACCTACTAGAGAGGGAGCAGTCATGGTGCAGCCAGCCGTGTATAATGACCAGAGAGGCTGCAGGACCCAGACCATGGCCACACAGACTCAACGCACGTGCTGGGCAGGGCTGAGGAAAGCAGCCCGAGACTAGGTGCCTATCTCCAGAGGACAGGTCCCTAACAGCACAGTTCCCTTCATCCCCAAGACCTAAAGTACAAGGCCTCCCTACCAAGGACACTAGTGATGCACACGTGCGTGTGTGTGTGCGCACACACACACACACACACACAGTGCAGTTTCACTACATACAAGACTGACTGTAGTCACGGTCATGAGAGGCAGCTCACAAGCCACTGCAGGACCATGTGTCTTTGTTTCTCTTTCACTGGAGAAAACAGTTATGCAAAGAAACAAGGCCTTATTTAGTCTACTAAACAATCTCAGGGTTGTTTTAGTGTAAATCAATGGCAAGGAATCGACCTTCAATTCAACATACACCCAGAAGGGAGTGAGAGTTTTACCCCAAGACAGAAGGAGTGAAAAAGTAAGTGGATTTAGGGTCACAGTGTGGAGTTTGCAGCCTGTCATACTGGGGCTGAGCGAAGCTTCTTAGGAATGTGGTGTACCTACGGCCCAGAGACCAACCCTTGCAAGGACAGCAGCTTTCAAGCAACCTGGGGTCAGTACCGGCCAGGTGGCGAAGGGAATCCAGGGTGTTCCCTAAGTCAAACTTGGCAGCACTGCCAAGGCAACCTGCAGCTGGAACTCAACAGGATTCTAAATCCAAAGCAAGCAGAGACCATCCTAGCAAACGAAGCTAGAGAAATCTATTCTGCTGGAATGAGTTTTTAGCTAAGGAGGAGCCTGAAATCCAGCTCTCACCTGAAACCACCAAGCCAGAGCCCTCAGGGCCAGCAGGCCCGGCTCCCTCCCCAGAGCTGGAGCGGGAAGGCAGCCAACCGTCTGTCCGGGGTTTATATAGGAGACTGATCTGATGTAGATGGCGTCCAGCTCACTGTTCTAGATAGTTCCTCAGTCCCACGCCGAAGAAGGAAATCCTTAGGTGAAGACCCCCCAGGCCTGCCTCCAGGAGTTAATTCTCCTAATGCACCGCGTGGGGCCACCACTTCCCCAGCACTGTATTAGTCGGAGGCTACACTTAGTTTGTTTCCAGTACTCATACTGAGCTGCACCCCAGCCCCAGGGCCTCGCTAAGGCACTAAGTTGGCCGAATTTACCTGGCCCCCCAAAGTGCATGCACTGCCACACCTGAGCTCTGAGGGCATTCATACAGGAAGTCACATGGGGATAGTCACACGCAGCTGTAGAAGCCCATACACCCTAGCCTCGGCTTCCCTCAGTGGAAACACACGGCAACACCATCCTATGCAGGACACCGCAGCGGAGTGTGACATGGCTGTGCTCCATGGTGCTGACTCCTCTCTCTCCACTGGGTGAGCATGAGTGTGTGAGCATGTGGCTGTGAAGGTCTAGACAGTCTTCTCATGTGTGCAAGTTCCGCTAGCCCCTCGGGTCGCCCTTTCTACACAGCTACTTTCAAAAAGCTCTAATGGATGCCAACAACCGAAGCCCAGTAAGTGGGGGGCCCAGGCCTCGGGGGCCTTCCCTGAAACACTGAGAGAGGGCGTGCAGCCCCCTGGCCTTCCTGGGACAAGACACCTGCAGCTGGGGCATTTAGGGAGCAGGGCTCCCTACGAGCTTGGAGCTTTGATGATGCCCAGCCAGAGTAAGAGGCACACACGAGAAGCCACTGTTCACTCGAAGCTACAAAAGTGTGCGATTATTATGCTTTTAAAAACATATATTGCCCCCGTGAGGCAGGGAGAACTGTATAAATCTATAGTACTGAGGAAAAACTAGGACAGCCACAGAAATACTGAATTTGGACAACATCATAAATTTTACGTTTTTCGTGCTCTAAAAAATTTTTTACAGTGGCCATGTGCTAAGGGGGAAAAGGATTCAATGCTTTCCAGGAAACACACAGCTGACTACGAAGTATCGGATTCTCCCTGCACTTCCTTCTAAGAGAACGAATAACAGCAGCAGAACTGTCTCTTTCGAGCATCCACGCAAGGTGAAATCCAGGCTAACCCCGCTGAACACACTCACAAGGCTGACACCACACGTGGCCCACCATTGATGCCACTGTACAAGTGGGAAACTCAGACCAGAGAGCTTGGGCAACTCAGGCAGAGCCATGAGCCGACAAGGGGCAGGTTTCAAATAAGCACGGACTGAGTGTGCGCAGCAGCGCACAGCCACCGCCCCATCACACGCGAGGGGTCTTGACGTCCTGCTCACTGAGCTTTCCCAGCATGGGGCTGAGCGCTGTTCCAGAACAGGCAAGAAAGCTCAGTGAGGTGAGGGGCCCAATGGAGGATGCAGGGAGCAGAGCTGCACGACCATGAGGAGCCCAGTGCTGGCTCCTGTGTGCAAACACAGCAAGGCACGCGTGAGACACAGGGGCCCTGGGCAGCCCTGCAGCTGCGGGTCTCAGGTCTCCTTTCAAGAATGGGGAGTGCAGGGAGGGAGTGCAGGAGGAAGCAACAAGCCAAGACCCCACTGCTGTAAGACCCTGTCTTACAGAGAAGACTCTGCTCTTCAGGTACCGAGCCCTAAACACGAAATCCACAATAGCTGTGGCCAAGCTTCTCTCACCCCAGGAAGAGTATTTCAGAAGGGAGTTCCCTTTCTAAGCCAGGGAATACTACTCAGTAAGTCCCTTCCACCCAAAAGTAGAAGAGCAGCCATAAACCTCCATAATAACATAAGAAAATCCTGAGCCAGGTGGAGTGGCACACACCTGTGATCCCAGCACTCAGGAGGCTGAGGCAGGCAGGAGGAGTGCTGTGAGTTCAAGGCCAGCCTAAAAGACATAGAGCCTACACAGTGAGAACGAGGCCAGCCTGAAAGACATAGAAAGACTCTTCTTCAAAAAACCAAGAAAATTCTGGTCAGAACCCTAGGAAACGAAGTTAAACATATCCTTTGAAAGCTAAAGGAAGTCTTTGATGACGCTCACCTCAATGAGTAACCATCACCATGCACCGGGCTCTGTGCTGCAGGCAGGACACCTGCTATCCGGGGAGCACGGGGAACGGGGTGACCTGGGGCCCCACCAGCACCTAGGCAGTGCGACCCTGCAAGGGACCATAAGGGGCACTGGGGCTGTGGAGGAAATGACCGCAGGAGCCTCACTGCAGCGAACACTGGAGCCAGGGGCGGGCACAGGGACACGAGGCCAGTGTCTAGGCACTGCCAGGAGCCCTGGGTGGCAGTGGGACAGTGAGCAGTGGGCTCTTGCATCTAGAGACTGAGACGAGATAGGTTGGGGTGAGGGAGAAAGTGCACCGTCTATGCTTCTCCCGGGGACAAAGGGACAAGAATGACCATTCCTGGGCTGAGAAGTGAAGGGGGCTGTCAGCGGGACCAAAGGCAGGAGACAGTCACGTCGCTGTGGAACGAGCCGCCCTGAGCCATGGGGCAGGGTTCAGGAGATGGAAACTCCTCCCCAGGGGCTGGAGGAGCAGAAGCTCAGCTTTGGAGAATCCACTTCAAAATGAGGCGGAAACCAAGTGCTTGTTCTCGGGAAGGCAAGTGTGAGTGAGTGGCCGGGCAGTGGTGCACACCTTGATCCCAGGCACTTGGGAGGCTGAGGCAGAAGTCTAAGAGTTGCAGGCCAGCCTGGGCCCCTTAACAGGGCCATGCTGAGGCCATAAAAAGGGCTGGATTGGGGATTTAGCTCAGTGGCTCCACCACCTGTCCTGCAAGCGCAAGGTCCCGAGTTCGATCTCCAGTACCCAAAAAAAGTTGGCGGGGGGGTGGCGCTGAGGCTGTAGCTCAGTGGTAGTATACTTGTCTCGCATGTGTGAGGCCCTGGGTTCAAGCCCAGTAGTGTGAGAAATGAAAAACACTGAATCTGAGCGCACAGCCTGGGCTGGCTGACCAGAGGGAGCAAACATGGTGCTGGGCTGTCAGAGCCAACAGGGTGGGGCCACAGTTCTGAGGGCACCCTACCCAAAACTCAGGAACACAGCTTTTCAGCAAAGTGAGCCACACCCAGAGTGTGGCAATCAACACTGGCCCATTGCTCCGGGCATGAGATGCCGGCCACTACCAACCCCAGGCGCCTAGGAGGTCAGGCAGGAGGAAGATCAGAAAGGAACCCGCTGGGGGTGGACTCAATGGGGCGGCGGCCCACACCAGTCAGTAGGGCTGCACACGTGTCCACGGGCTCTCGGAAATCAGAGGACCCCTCTTCTCCCTCACCTGACCTAAACGAACAAGCAGCTCTACACATCTGCCATGTTGCTGGAGTGAATAAATGAGTGTTCCCATCCAACAGCATGAGTGTGTGCATGGAAACGAAACATCCGGTCACCTGCCTTCTGTTTTACACTGCAACTTACTCATACTTCAGGTTTCTCACGTAAGAGAGACCATGTGACACTGAAGCTTGTGCGTGACTTACCCCACCTAACACTGAGACAGGGAGACAGAACCTTTACAAAAGGGCAGGGCATCAGGAGATGGAGGGAGGGGAAGAAGAAAGAAATGATCTGTTGTGTACGTGCGCCCACTCCCCACGGCCCGTCACTGTGTACCGCAAACAGGTACTGGTGAAAAGGAGACAGAGAGAAATGAAGGACTATCGTCACCACACTCAAGGAGATACCGTCCCCTTACAACCCTCAAAGACCAAG